TCCGATGGTCTGCTGATCCGATGGTCTGCTGATCCGATGGTTTGCTGATCGATGGTCTGCTGATCCGATGATCCGATGGTCTCCTGATTCAATGGTGCACACCATCAGATCATCGGACCATCGGATCAGGCAGCCCCACGATCATAAGTCATATACTCACCTCACTCCTGCTTAAAGGCGTGCCAACTACGCTGAGAATAGAAGCAGCGAAGCACCCATGCCAGCTTCAAGCTCCCACACCCGCTGTCACTACCCCCAAGCTCAACCAAAGGCCATCTAGAGCCTTCCTCAATGCTCAATTCGCTCGTCATCCCCTCCAGGATTACGGCACAATGGTACATGGTTATTTGGCACCAAATTGTTGGCGAGTCTCTCCGTCTTTAGTCGAGTGATGTCTAGTTGCACGCGCCCAGTCCACATTGGTGTCTCCAAAGCCCCCAGCCCCTCTGTCTCTTTCTGGAGAACCCGCAACCATCACAGTCTTGGTGCTGAATTTCCCTTATAAAACTTACCAACCTGGGCCAGCGCATGTGTGTCCTCACTCCATAAGGCCGGTCCGCCGGTCCACCCAGTATCCAACCCGGTTTCTTCTACACTTCTTCTCGCTTGCCCTCGCAAGCTTGGCTTCAGCGAGTATCACCATTTTATGCAGTGGTCCCAACTTTGGTGTCGCACGGGGGTGTCCACAAAGAGGGTTCTACAAGAGTGTCCCGCAAGAGTGTCCAACAAAAGTGTCCCGCCGGGGTGTCCGGCTTTTCAGCAAGAGTGTCCCACAAGAGTGTCCCGGTAAGCCACGTGCTTCCAAGCCCACTGCTTCCGCTCTTAAGCTCCAACGGTCTGCTGTCGCGCGCTGCGCTCCTTCTTCCTCTCCTCACCTTCCTGTCCTCGCTCCTCCCTGTTCTGTTCATCCTTGTCAGGATTGCGCCAACTTGTGCATGCCACTGGCTAAGGAACTTCGTTGTGTGAATTCCGGTGTGTGCTGTTGGTGCTTGTTGTCAACGTCTCCCACTGTCCATACCACTGTCTCCCCCCATGTCCTCCCTGTCTCTTTTTCTTGTGAAGATACAGCCCCCGCGGAATCAGACCAGCAAAGCACCCCCAATGGGCAGGGAACGCCAGACCAAATTCTGGTTGCACCTCCTTCCGTGTTTGGACCAGCACCTGGTACACCCAAATCCTGAGACCCTGCCATACCCTACCATTCCAAATGTCCTTAAAAACTACTATATATATATATAATCTTTGCTAATTTCCTTAAAAATCATGAATCTTCAGAGAACCCGATTGGATGATTCTGGATGTGGGCCAATGACAGCAAATTCATGTTCCGTCACAAACATTCCCCAACCATCAAGAAGGGTTTGCTGTTCTGCCGAGTTGAAGGGTTCTTTCTTGCTCCCGGTCTGCCTCATTTAGTCCCACCAAATCGTCCATGCAAATCCGGTGTCCACTGCGCGGTGGCGCCAAAGAAACAACCCCGAACGAGGCTACTGAATGCCGGCTGCGTGTGCTGCCGATCATATGCTGAAGATAGAATGCCTCAGCGATACGTGCCATCCAAGGTTCGCAGTTGTTTTGTTCCGACCAGCGTTGCTTTAGGATCGGAAACTTCTTGGAGCTATGTTGGCTCGCTGAATCGCAGATGATGAGGGCCTTGTCAGCCAGCGATAGGCCCAGTTGTTTGCGACGCAGCCGTAACTCTCCTGACAGAAATTCCAGGTAGTCGCAAAAGGTCTCTGCCGACCATATATGCGTTTTCGAATGACGGGGCCCAACAAAAAGCCATTTCCCCAGTTCCTGCGGCGCGAACTCAATGCATTCCATCTTCAAACCACCCGTTGTATTTGTATATATATATATATACACACAACGATGAACTGAAAGATGGAATGTATGATTGAAAATTGCACTTAATGGGCAGGCTATAGAGAATCAAAAGCAAAAATCCAGGAAAGGAAACGGAAGGAATGGAGGATGGGATGGAAGACTGGAATCCGATAAGAAAACTCATGAAAACTGACCCAAACCCTCCTCGTTGGCTTGCTTTCGCTGACCCTCTGTGAGGCTGTCTTTCCTACAGGACACAAAGCCTCGGCCAAGGCTTCCGTCTGCCCAGCTTAAACTGGTCAACGTACGTGGTACTCTGTACTGCTCCACAGGGCACTGGGCAACAGTTCCCCCTTGAAGACGGGGGGGGTGAACCTTCGCAATGACTTCTCCACGTCCATCCAAATTCTCCGTGGGTTCCTTGCCCAGCACACGCTCCACACAATGTCTGATCCGACGAAGGCTAATGCGCTTGGAGAGTTCGTCGGGTTCCCGAAGTGACATCTGCAGCGTCTGCTTTGCCGGCAAAAAACACATCGACCAGATCTGATCGAAGTTTCCGATGAGCTGGAAATGATATTTCTTCTGATGGATCATCATTTGTACCCAATCAATAACTCGGAGAAGTTGAGGATGATTAGGACTGAGATGCTTCCCGGGCTTCGGGTTCGCCCGGTTCAGAAATCCAGACTTCCGACATATTCGCTCAGCATGTTTCCTAATGCAGAGAGCGCGGCCGGTGAACAAGGCGAAGCCAAAAGTTGGAATGGGGTGACCAGTGTTGACCAGTCAAAATGTCAAAATGAAACAAATCTCATAGAGCGCGGCCGGCGAACAAGGCGTAACCAAAAGTTGGAATGGGGTGACCAGGGTTGACCAGTCATAATGTCAAAATGAAACAAATCTCATGAGTGCAGGCTTCCGGAAATTTGCATCAGTGGGCTTCAAACAGACTAGCAGCAGCTCCTCGGAAAGACGCTTGTTGATCTTTGCCAAATGGGACTCCGCGTCATCTTCGTCCAGGGTCAGATCGCAAAGCTGCAGAAGTTCCATCACATCCTTTCCCCTGACATGCTCAACCACGTCATTCCATTGCTGGATAGCTGTGTGAAGGGTGTTCTTCACAAATGCATAGGAACATTCCTCTCCACGGGAAATGTGCTCTGCCTAAGCTTTAAGCTTGTGAATGTGCTCTGCCTAAGCTTTAAGCTTGTGACGGGTTTGAAAAGTATCCGTGAAAACAAGGCTGTATATATATATATATACACATACACACCTCCGGAATGAAAGATAGAATGACTGTTTGGGACCGGCAACACAGATTTGTGTAGTGCATTGATATTAATGTGTATATATATACAGTATATATATACACATCGAGAGAGATGTACACCTGCTAAAACCAGAGCAAGGTACCACGAGGTCCGCCACCACATTCTCTAAAGCAGCCGGCACCATAGATGTTTCAGATGGTGCTTTACCACCTCCACCTCGCGACTTGAACTTCTTCTCCAAACCAAGCATTGCACGGAGGGTGTTCGGAACCTCCTTCACCTTTTTTGCAATGCGCGGTGCTGCTGCGCAGATCAGGCTCCAGTGTTGACGCGCACGGGGCCCTTTCCACTTGTAAACGCAGCACCTGAAGTAGCCTTTCATCTGAGTGAGATGGACGCACGGGTTCTTGATCCCATTCTGGACCAGTTCATCATATTTCTGCATCCTAGGCTGTGAGCATTTCACTGTTCCATAACTTTATGCATATACACATATATATATATATGTAACATGTATGTATATATATATGTATAATATATAAGTTAGAATGCGCGTCCTCCTCCCCCTCCTAACCTCAATGTTTGCTGTTTATATATATATATACACAGTATTGGCACCGCCCTTCAGTGTTTGACAAAGCATGTGGCATGAGTCTTCAGCTACCTTGCTTGTACAAACTGAGGCCGTGTCATCTGTTCTTTGTCCCACAACGTCGCTGATTCCTTTTTGCCTTTGCTGAACTTTCTGCCGTCTACGTGTCTCCTCTTCCGCTGGTATTTGCTCCTCTTCTGAACCCTGGCACGGGCCTTTGGAACCCTCTGACGAGCCTTTTGCGAGTTCTTCTTGAGTGAAGGCATTTGCCTTGGCTCACCGTACTCTGGCGCTGGTCGTTTTGATCGAATGCGCCGCTGCACTGTTGCGCTGACAGAAACAGAGTTGGATAATGTTTTGCCTTCATCAACCCATCCAGCAGTTCTCCAGACAGATCCTGCTGCTGCAAAAGAGGCCAAGAATACAGCCTGGAAGGCTGTGGATGTAAAGCTGTTTCCACATAGATCTTGGCAGAGGCTAGGGTTTGCCACCAGGAAACTATGTGATTCATCGCTGATGGCTGTCCTGAAGAAACCTTGCAGGTTGAGGTGATCCTCAGGACCTAGATACCTCCGTAGCAGAGTGGAATACACTGGATGTCCCGGAGTCAAGCAGGGACATGCATCTTCACAATGGGTAACGCGTGTCAGAGAGGCAGAGCAGTCAACAAAGATGTTCTTCTTCCCAGGGAGCTGCTCCTGCGCCATCTCCACTAGCTTTGCATGCCGCCCTCTCTTGGGTGGCTCCTCTGGCAATGCTGCAAAGATGGTCTGCGCAGGGAAGTGGAAGTTGGTCTGCATTGACTTCACGCAATCAATGAAATTGGTCTTGATCTCCTCGCGTTTGGATTCTCCACTGATGAGTGTAGCAATGCCATACACGCGGTTGCGCCGCTGAGGCACTAAAAAATTCTGCGAATCCAAGATGGTGAAAGCCTGGGCCAGGGAGAGTATGACATTCTAACTTTTGTCTCCTGGGTACAAGCCGTGGAAGAATTAGGGCCTACACTTGGGCAGGCTGGTATGTGTATTATACATATATATATATATACATACACGTATTTACTATGCACAAACTTCGCCAAGACACAAAATCATATCCAAGTTCTGTCAGCTGGCTAGTCATCACCTGCACTGGAAGCATCCCACATCTGCAGAAACAACGTGAAACACACAGAATTCACTATACTTTGGTCAACTTTTGTCAACAAGACAAGAAGTCTTGCCTCCACTGGTGATGGCTGAATTGTTCCATTTTTGTCTTTGCTGCGCTCGTTTGCAGCGCGCACGTTCTCGTAGATGGCAATTGATGGGCAGTAGTCTTGTAGGACTTTCCGGAACCCGAGTTTGTAGGTACTTCCGGATGTGGATTCAATAATACCGGAGAGAGTGGAATCATTCATATCCTCCTCTTCATAGCACCCAACCTTGTCTCTTCGAGCTGTGTTCAGCCGAGATAAGTCCTTGCAGCTAGGACCGCAAATAAAGACGTCGATGGGGAGGTTGCGCGGGCTCACCTCGTGAATCTGGCCGCAGACGTGGCAGAAGCCCTCACCATCTGCAAATACTTTTACATCGTCAAAGAGGTGCTGGCACTGTGGATGTTCCTTCATCAGGTAACTCCGTTTTTCTGGGTCAGACTCCACTGCAAAGATCTGCTCTACTCGCACCGTTGTGTCCTCACACGCAAAATTGGCAGTCGTAGGAACAAAGAAGAGCATATATATATATTATGTGTATAAATAGACTTTTATAGATTATGCGCATATATACAATATATAGATATATACTGTATATGTGTTTCTAAACCATGGGCATTCTAACTTCTTTTTTGTACCACATATTTTCTGACAAGCTCAACCCTTGCCCCAGCCTGGTGAAGGTTCAACGTCTCCACTGTTTGCCTGATTACAGTGACGCAGATGTCGGTGCCGCTGCAGGCAGTGCCCACTCGAATGCATTTACCAGACAACTGGCTGAAACTCTGGACTATGCGCTCCGCAAACTCAGCATCACATGCATCCATAAAGTAACAACAAGTATGACGTAGATCAGGTTGGACAGACTCCTGCACATACTTTGGGGACAATCTTGAAGCAGACATTGTGAAAGTCCGGTTCTTGTAGGCGTTGTCAATCCATCTCACAGGGCTTCGTTCCTGCAGGACACAAAAATTCTGGATACTCCAGTAGAAGAGGGCCTTCTTCGTCTTCATAAGCCCAATCTCTGCCCTACCATACATCTCTGTAGAAGTCTTCTCGGCGGCCTCTTTGGCATCAACGGGCGTGCAAGAATACAGATTAAGAATGCCAACAAAATCATATCCCTGCTCCCTCCGGACCAAAGCACACAAATTCAGCTCACGGCTCTTGAATGGTCTTAGGAGTCCCTGGTGGCCTTTGAGAATACCATCAAACTCTCTCTCTTGCAGAACAATGCAATGAACTTGCTCATCAGGATCATCGAAGTTCCAAGGCAGGGCTGAATCCTCAATTTCCTCATTGGATTCATTTGTCCCGGCTTTGGCCTTCTTCGCTGATGAATCTAGACTATCATTTGCAAAGGAGGAAGACCATGATCTCTTGTGTTTGAGTGTAGACTCTTCAGAGCATATGTCAGCCACGGGCTCATGTAGGGAACTGCTAGATGATCCATTGCGTTGAATTCGCGGCAAGCAAAGCTCATCGACTTTCAGATACAACCAAGTCATCTCGCCACTGGGCTTTACTGGGTAGACCAAAGGAGGGTCAAATATGTGAACTGCTTCCATGTGCCAGCCCCAGCAACCGCCTGTGGAATCTGAAGTCATATTTTCCCAAAATTTGAATTGTTCAATCTCCTGCAGTGTGACTCGGTGTAGTTGAAAGTACTTGTGAAAATCAGCCTTCTTGATCTTTGAGCAACCTTGGTATTCCAGAATTGCCAAGACCTGGCGGTCAGCGCCATGATTTGTCGATACCAAAGCCACTTTGTCTCCTTCATTCAAGAATTTCACAGGCTTGCTGCGAATTTCCATGCTTTTGCGGTCTTCCTTGGAGTCAAGGATGAAGCGCTTGGCATAATGCTGTTGCACCATGAGCCCAAGCACTTTCCCATCTCGCTGTCTCAGATCCCTGCGAAGCATATCTCTCATTTCCTCTAAGGGTGAGTTTGCAAGCGTAGTGCAGGCTACTGTAGGTCTTGGCACTTGTTTTGTAGGCTGGTTGGTTTCAAACACTATCTTTACGTGTAAAACACACACACATATATATATATATACACAATAAATATATATATATACACATGTGCTTATATATATATATACATACATGCACATCAACTAGCGTAGATTTGCAGCTCCTCCACTGGTGTTGGCCCACCGGTACCCAGAAAAGATTCCAGCTGGGCTTGTAAATCAAGATCATGTTCTTCTTCCCAATCACACTCATCATCGATGGGCCCAGCATAGGGATCGTCAACGGCAAGGCCAAATTCCTTCCAGACTGCCCGGATTGTGTGTTAATTTTTAATATGTTTTAATGTTTGATGGTGTCACGCAAAAGGCATTCTATCAGAAGATTTCAATGTCAGTGGTTGAGCCACGTGTGAAATCCCAAGAAGGCTTTCCGCTAAAGCTAAAAATACAAAGCATGCATGTGGCTGCAAGTAACAACGATATATATATATATATAAGGCCTACTCCCAAATGCTCAAAACCAGTCCCCCCCCTCATATACATTTCTAGCTCTGTTTCAGTCTTTGTTTCATATCTTCTACACTACAAAATGGATCAAAATAAAAAGCATAAGGAACTCTGAGGGCGTCGTTTCTGACTTGTATAGTTTCTGAACGATGGTTTCTGAACCATGTAAATTTTTCAAGTATCGTAGTTTCTATATCCTATATCGTACAATCTCAAGACATTTCTGCCCTGGAAATATCCTTTATCTTATAGCATCAAGACATTTCTGCCCTGCAGTTTCCGAACAGAAGCTACAACAAATATCCACAGTTAATATCAATAAAAAGCACCATTATCTGAAATGGATTTTTCTCTTCACCTGAACACTGGTGTTGAACTAATCGTAGTTTCTATATCCTATATCGTACAATATCAAGACATTTCTGCCCTGGAAATACCCTTTATCTTAGCATCAAGACGTTTCTGCCCTGCAGTTTTTGAGTATAGAAAAGAAGAGCTGTGCTGGATTAGTGCTGGATTCTGCTAGCGGTGCTTGAATGAGCAGCTTACAGTATAGCTTACGAGCCACTGGGACCATAGTCATGGGCGCTTCCCGGTCAAGTAGTTTATTGATCCGAGGGATGCAGTCACTTTCAATTTCGAAGCTTGGCTCGGATCCATTTGTTGAACATCAACTTCTAAAGTTGAAATTAAATTTAACCCAGGTCTTCAGCAGCTTCCAGTGATCTAAGGATCTGGGTTGGCTAGCCAATGTGGCCAAACACTTGCCCAAGGGCCTCCCGAGTTCCCGGTGCTTAGATCCGGTGGATCTAAGCGCTGGAAACCTCTCCGTTAGCG